GGAGGGACAGCGCAGGAGGGGAAGGCCCTCTATGAGGTGGATTGATTAAGTGACTGGGGTAACGGGATGGGTGTATCAGAGACGGCACAGGACAGAGCAGACTTTAGGGCTGTTGTACAGAGGGTCGCTATGAGTTGCAAATGACTTGACGGCACATAACAACAACAGGATAATCACTACGATGTGTATAAAAGTCCAAAGGGTTGCAAAGTGGATTATATTTGGGGGTAGGGGGTGGGGTTTGGGGAGGCGCGGGGGGATTGTGTACCAATGAGGGAGTTTTTCTTTTGCTTTTCAAGGAGAGGAGCAAACGGGGGGTGGGGGTGGGGGGGGCGCACGGGTGCAGGGACAAGGGTGCAACAATGAATGAATGGAATTCCAAAATCTCTGTAGATGTTCATTGAAATGAAAAATAAACAAACTAAATTAAAAAAAAAAAGTAGTTCTCTGGAACAAGCTGCGATTTGTCAAACAAAACTAAGGATGCCTGATTAAATTGAAATTTCTGATGAACAACAAATAATTTTTAAGTGTCTATGAGTCGGAAACGACTCGACGGCACATAACAACAAACATGTTTAATATAATGGTATATACTAACACAAAGAAATTTTTTGTTTAAAATTCAAATTTAACTGAGCAATTTTTAGTTACTACAGGTAAAATTGGTACCTCTTCATCTCACATCTGTAACGAACCCACCAACAAACCTTGTTTGTAAACTACTTATATCTTAGGTCCAATCTCTTCTTGCACTCTCAGTCTCACCTTAACACAGGGCTCTTTCACAGCCCCTCATTTCCATTCTGGCTCATCCCCTCCTAGACTCCTGCCCTCACACTACTGAGAGCTCTATGAAACAAAATCCCCTATCTGTGCAGTCCCTACCCTAAGCCCAGCCCCCTATGTTGCCTCCACACTGGGCCACAGTGCACATCTTGCTGTCACATGCCCTAAGTCAGTTCTAACTTGGACTCTGTAGCTGCTTTGTCCTGCAACAAAGAAAAGACTTCCTCCAGTATCTCTGAAGCTCTCTTGGCTGTCTCTCCCTGCTCTACTATCTCAGTCTCCTCTCACCCTCTGAATTGGATACTCCAGGTTCAGTAAGCTAGCTGTCCAGGAATGCTCACTCTGGATCCTGAGCTCCAGTAGCCACTGCTGACACACAAGTATCTTGGTTCAAGCTCACACAGATGTTTCTGGGATGCCACAAGGGGAAAACCAGACAGAGGCCCTTTATGAGCCTTTCCAACCTGAGATTCTGCTAAAACTGAACTAAAATACACCTACCCATCGTCCTCCATCAAAATGACTGACGGGACAATCTTTCTACATTTGTGCTATTAAGAGTCAAGTGCACAGTCGTGCTTGATGAAACTGAAATTATCTCCCCCCACCCCCGACGATGCCTCAGTGAAATGAAAAACCAAGCCAGATCCCAGTAGGCCACTCCACTTCAGGAGTTGTCAGATGAGTGAGTGGCATTGAGGCTCAGTCAACTGGGCAGTTCTTCAGGATTTAGGACACCTGCTTTTCAGTCACCTCTGCCCTTAGAATTACCAAGTTAAATTACCTGGCAAGAACTTTCCTGGGGCATGCCATGAGACGTAGGATTCTAGACTGTGCAGCACTGACATATAAAAAACAAAGCGCAGGTTACAGGATGCACCATTACAAATGCCAGAAGGCACATTCATGCTAAAGCAGAATTCACAGATCAAACGTGGACTAGATTTACCACCTTCAAAGTCATCCATATTTCCTTTTTCATTCAGCCTCCCACCCCAGGAGAAAAGCAGGCAACTCAGGCGCTCTGGCCTCTCTATAGCACAGCTGCAGATAACTGAGTGTGTTCTTTTCCTCCATAAATTCACCTGAGAGCTGAAAAGCATTTTCTGTTTACTTGCTGCCCAGGTCACAGTCACTGATGCACTCTGGACCACTTGCTGGTGAGCAGGCACACAGGATGGCTTTTTAAATTCTGCCCCCACTTCCCGACCTCCACAAGCTAAGCAACAGCTTCAAGTCACCAGGGTTCCCGGCACACCTGACCCAATCACACAGGGTCCACAAGAACCCTCGGGTCAAAAGGGCACGTGAAAGTTGTACATAAATAAAACATAAGGTAGATGAATTATTGCATGCAAACCAATTTAAAAAACCAAACACAAAAAAGGCATCTAAAAAGGTGAACTTTGTTTCTGACTACCACCTAGTAATCTATTACTACACCACCTAATGACTCCTACACCTACACTAGCTGACCCTCCAGTGGGTTTTCAGAGGCAGTTAACCTTCCCCCGCTGGTGGATTCCAACCGAGTGCCTTTGGGCACAGCGCAGCTTGTTTTCACCAGGCTAATTTCTCCTTCGTCCACACAGGCTGCACACCTCCTGCGTCATTCAGACACGAAACAGAAAACTTGCTGCCAGAACTCTCACCCTGTGTTAGAAGTCAAAGCTCTGCTTATGAGTTACCGTTGTGGTTGTGGTTGTTGTATGCCTTGAGTATGAACCTCAGAGGCTGTAAATCACCCAGGATGATCATTCTCGCACAGGAGCTGACGGATTTGAACCTCGAACCTTTGGGATTGTTGCGCAGCTTCTTACCACGAGGTCACCAGAGTTCTAGTCCCCTCGGGGCTCCCTCCTCTCCATTGAGAACTATCCGAGACCTGGCCGTAGTCGCTCAAGGCCCTGACCAGCCTCTGGCCTACCTGCCTTGCGGAGCAGACCGATCTGCGAGCCGTTGAGCGCCATGTAGTCGCAGTCGGTGATGACCCGCACGCGCACGCCGCGCTGATGCAGCAGCTGCACAGCGCGGCCTAGCTGCGGACTGGAGAAGGCAAACAGGCAGAGCTCGAGGCTAGCGCGGGCGGTGAGCAGGGCGCGGAGCAGGCTGCTCAGTGAGCTCTCGCCGTGCGGCAGGCTGCACTGGCAGCCCCCGGGCGCTGCCGGGGTCAAGGCTGAGGGCCCGGCTGCGGCCAGCGGCGCATCGGGGGCCTGCAGCAGAGCCTCCGTGCAGGTCACCTGCGACGGGAAGAAGAGCACTTCGCGTCGGGGCCGTCGCCGCCGCTCGCCCCGCAGCCAACGCAGCACCGCAGGCAAGGCCTCTAGAGCCAGGGCGAGGCCGAGGGCCACCGCCACCGGCCAGCGCAAGGACCTCATGACACCGCCCTCGCCCGCTTGCTGGTCGGAACAAAATGGCGTTCAGGCGCGACTGCGACTGCGCCCTGCGCCTCCACGTGCTCAGGAGGGCGCCGCCCAGGCACGTTTGTGCTGCGGAACCTGAGTCCCAGACCGGGCCAAAACAACATCGGACCCAAGTTTGAGAACACCAATGAGGCAGGACGGCGCTGGGCCAGTTTCCAGCGCCTTGGAAATAATGCTGCACTCAGGATTTGAGCCAGTGTCACAGCACATATTTCCAGAAACTGAGCACAGTGGTCCGCTTTACTTAGCCAGTTCAAGAAAGTACAGTGAGACCTTTGCTAATGTGGGCCAGGATGGTATTCAAACTCTGTAGCTGAATTTGTGAGATTTTTAATGGATTCTGTCTGCAGAATATTAGATAATCCAGGAAGCATTAAAAGAAGATGGAGTATAGTGAGTAACTCTGCCAAAAAGAATTGGTAGACACAGAAGAATTTCAAGAAACAACATATGATCAAGAGGCAATGGTGATGAAGGAGGAAGTGCCGGCTGCTCTGAAAGACTTGGCAAGAAATAACTGATGGAATACCAATTGACATATTTCAACACAGAGATGCGGCCCTGGATGTGCTCATCAGGTTGTGCCAAGAAATCTGGACGACAACTACCTGGCCAACTGACTGGAAAAGATCCATATTTATTTAAAAAAAAAAAAGGTGACCTGGCAGTGTGGAAATTATTAAACAATATCACTATTATCAAGCACTGGTGGCCTATCCCGAAGGCTTTCAGTTAGAAGCTATCAGCTGCTCCTCAGGAGAAGAATGGGCAATCTCCTCCTGTGGGATTAACTGCCCCTGAAAACCCACTGGAGGGTCAGCTATGGGTCGGTTTCAACTTTTTTTTTTTCAACTTCTAAACACAACAACAACATCACTAATACTGCATGCAAACAAAATCCTGCTGAAAATTATAAAAAAATGACTGGAACTGAAGGATTATGAGGAAGTTAACTTTTAACCCTTCTCAGGTAGAAGCCATAAAACCTCACAGGACTTTTGCCCTCTTTTAGAAAAACAAGGCCATAAAACAGCTCACCCACATCTGCAAGTACAGATAAGAGAAATTCCAGGAGTTGTTTTTCTGAACTTTACTCCCCACTTCCCCACCCCTTGCGCTGACCCCGCTTGCCGCACGCAAGCCAACTTGCTTTTTTTTTTTTCCAACTTGCTTTTAAATGTACCAATCAGATAGTTTTCCTCGCTTACCCGCGTGCGCCAAATTATTACCAATCAGAACTGCCTACCTCAGTGTATATTCAAATACACCAATCAGCAGCCCTCCCTGTGTGTTAGCCCATGTTTGCGTGGGTTATTGCCTTTATAAGCTGTATGTACCCTTAGCTCGGGGTTCAACTCCTCTGCCTCTGCGTAGGTCAAGAGATGTGCCCCAGCGCACTGGATGGAATAAAACCTCATGCTGTTTGCATCAAGGACGGTCTCTCGTGAGTGATTGGTGCTGGCATCCGATCTCATTGGGGTCCGGCTCTGCGGATCCAACAGAACAGTACAGTGACAGAGAACTATCAGAAATATCAGCTGGGTTTAGAAGAGGTTGTGGCACTAAAGACATTATTGCCAATGTTAGATGGATTTGGCAGAAAGCAAAGAGTACCAGAGGAATGTCTATGTTTCATTGACTATGCAAAGGTATTTGACTGTGTGGATCATAACAAACTGTGGCTAACCTTGAGGAGAATGGGAATCCCAGAGCACTTGATTGAGATTATGTGAAACCTGTACTGGGACCAGGAAGAAGTCATCAGAACAGAGCAAGGAAACAATGCATGATACAAAATCAGGAAAGGAGTGTGTCAGGGATGCATCCAGTTTCCATACCCTTTCAATCTATATGCAGAACAGATCGTTCAGGAGGCTGAGCTTTATGAGGAGGAATGTGGCACAGGATTGGAGGAAGACTCATCAATCACCTAAGTGAATGCAGTGACACAACCTTGCTTACTGAAACTGAGGCGGACCAAGGACTGTAGTCTTAAATACGGATTGAAGCTCAACATCAAGACAAAGATTCTCACCACAGGGCCAATTGGCAACACCATAAAAGATGGAGAAGAGATTGAGGTTGTTAACAGTTACAGTTTGCTTGGCTCCTCAGTCAATACTCTTGGCACCAGTAGTCAGGAAATAAAAAGAATTGCACTGGAAAAATCAGTCAGGGACGTTTCCAGAATATTGAGAAGCAACAATGTCAGTCTAGAGACTAAGGTGCACCTGATCTGGGCCGTGTTCTTCACTATTACTTGCTATGCACCAGAGAGCTGGACAGTGACTAAGGATGACAGAAGAAGAATCTGTGCCTTTGAGTTGTGATGCTGGAGAAGAGTTTCAAACATACCAAGGAAACAAATAGGTATATCTTGGAGAAGGTGAAACCAAGTTTCTCCTTAGAGGCTAGGATTTTGAAGCTCAGTCTTAATACTTTGGGCATATGGCCAGGAGAGACTGGTCTTTGGAGAAGGACATCATGCTCAGAAGGGTGGAGGGACAGCACAGAAGAGGAAGACTCTGGATGAGATGGATTGATACAATGACTAGGGCAAGCAGGGTAGATGTGTCAAAATTATATATAATATATAATTTTCTATATATGTATCCTGGAGAGAGGATGAAAGCACCGAAGCGTCGAGGACTCTCTCTCCTTCACAGGGTCTCTATGAGTCTCCTGCGACTCGATGGCACTTAACAACAACAACATATATGTTTTAGTTATAAAATTAGTTATTTTTCAGGGAGCTCTGGTGGCCTAGTGGCAAAAAGCTGCTCTGTAATCCCAGAGGCATGTGGTTCGAGTCCACCAGATGCTCTGCTGGAGAAGGAGGGGCAATGTCCTCCTCTTATACCAGTCAGATCTGATTTGACGGTACACACAAACACACAAAATAATAAAATAATATTTAAAAAAACCAAAACACTATTTTTCTTCAGCCTGCAAAACTAGTTACTTAGCCTGTGAATTCTGTTTCCTGACTTTAGTCATGTAAAGTAGTTTGATCTGCTGTTTGCTTACCAGAAGAGAAAATGCATTTCCCCTAGATCTCTCTGAGGCTGTTTCCCAGTCATATGTAAATTGCATCTTAACCTGCCTATTTACCAGGAAGAGAACTGTGCTCTTTCTGAATTACTGATACTTAAATGTGAACTGTTCTTTTCAGATGTAGAAATTACTTTTTTCTTACTAACAAAAGTGCATTGTTAAGTGAGCTAGTGCATTCAGTAACAGGATGGCAGAAGAAGAATTTATTCCTTTGAGTTGTGGTGCTGGAGAATAGTACTAAGTATTCTATGGACTGCCAAAAGAACAGATACATATGTTCTAGAAAGGGTTCTTTCAGAATACTCCTTGGAGGCAAGGATGATAAAGCTTCTTTCATACTTTGGACATGTAACTAGCTGAGGTGAAAGATTAAAATTAAAATGGCCCCTATAGTTCCTAGCTGAATTAAACTCAAGTTTCTATAGTTCTCAGCTAAGTTAAACTCAGGAATTTTTCCATTGTCCTGGGTAAAGCCCCACACCCAGTGTTCCAGGAAGAAAAGTCTGATCTCAGGGCAACGGTATTCCGAGAATTGGCCGACCTCAGGGGTAGAGCAAACAAGCAGATGTTTCTCGACTGATAACCCAGGTGCCTTTGTTTCCCGACTGATAACCCATGTGTCTTGTGCTTTTCCACTGCCCTAGGGCTTGAACTCATTGTATGCTTAAGAATTTGTGAAACCACCCTATAGTTAATGTTCCAAGAAATGGCTAACTACAAAGGTTAGGCAAATATGCTGATGACTTAAGATCTATCTAAGTGCCACATGTGCAAGAATAAGATATTGTGCAAATATGCTGTGTAATCCATGAGCGAAGCCGAACCAATGAATTCAAACTGTACTTTTATCACCCAATGAGAAGCTGACACCCTGTTGTATCCCCCTAAAGTGTATAAAAAGAGCCAAAATTGTCTGCTCGGGGTCGACTCCTCTGTCTCCTGCGAGAGATACGTGTCGGTCTGGAGCTCCGCAATAAACCTCTTGCTGTTGCATCAAGCCGGTGTCTCAGTCTTGGGTCTTCGCCGTCCGCTCGGAACAGGACCACCGGTTCGGGGGTCTTTCAGAGGTATTCATTGGTAAGGAACATCATGTTCGGAAAGATGGAGGGTCAGAGAAGGAGAGGTAGACCCAAGAGATGGATTGACACTCTGACTTCAGCAATGGCCTCAGAGGGGATGACGATGACACATGATAGGACAGGTTTTAGGATGGCTGTTCATAAGGTTGCTATGAGCAAGAGTACTTGACTCAACGGTGCCTAACAACAATATCATCTATTTCCCACACCTCCCTCCCAGCCCGAGTTAATTAATGTAGCATTTGAAGTTGCCACTACTGGTATAAGCAGAGTGGAGACGAATAAATAGTGATCCTGTCTTTACAAAAATCAGGGCCTGTGTGTTGTTGTTGTTGTTGTTGTTGTTATGTGCCGTCGAGTCGCTTGCGACTCATAGCAACCCTATGTACAACAGCCCTAAACTCCGCTCT